GAAGGAGGAGGAAGGGGTGCGGGACAATCGTACATTGATGAGGAAGAGGCCGAGGGTCAGTGGTAAATCGAGGACGACAGTTAGGGGGAGGGGTATGTCGAGGAAGAGGAGAGTGAGGTGGGGAGGAAGAACCCCTCTTTATTTTTGTTCTCCATGATAATTGCAGGGGAATGGAAACACAGCCAGATGTGCATTCCCTGATTATTTAATTTATTAGTGAATTTGTGTTCTTTTTCCCTTGGTGTGTGTGCATTGCAAAATGTCCTGCTTTTTTCTATTTTAGTGTTTTGTTGTTTTTGTGGGTGAAGCCACAACAGGTAATCTAGGCCATGGGTTAAAACGAGTCTCGTGACAGGGTACGGCATCTTTTACTGAATCTGGCTGTTGTTTCTCGTCTGCTGCATCCACCAAAGCCTCAGTACGAGTATATCCTTACATGGTGGGTGTGTTCCTGCATTTTAAACCACCAAAGCCTCAGTACGAGTATATCCTTACACGGTGGGTGTGTTCCTGCATTTTAAACCACCAAAGCCNAAACCACCAAAGCCTCAGTACGAGTATATCCTTACACGGTGGGTGTGTTCCTGCATTTTAAACCACCAAAGCCTCAGTACGAGTATATCCTTACATGGTGGGTGTGTTCCTGCATTTTAAACCACCAGTACACGGCCCTAGCCTTGTAGAAAAATGTACTTGTCGCCACAAGAAAATTCCAGGGCCTGGGGAAGGCCTGGAAGAGCGATGGGGGTAGGAAGCCCATGTGCCCAACGGAAAAGAAAAACTGGCTGTAAGATGTCCTTCTGGTTCAGGCCGTGCATGTGGAAAAACACACACGTACAAGAGGCGAAAGGCAACAAACATTAGAAAAACAGAAAACAAAAACAAAAGCAAGTGCCTGTTGAAACAGGCACCTTGCTCCTTTTTGGACACAGGTGGTCTCCAGAAACGAGGCAGGCTCCTGTTTCAACGGGCGCCAGCTCAGTTTCTTTCCCAATTTTAGGGCAATGGGCACAGATGCATCTGGGCTTGGAATAGCGCCAGGTACAGATGCAGGTGTGTGATAGTTTTTTTTTTCCTTTTGTTTCTTTTCTCTTTTTTGGTACCTATTGCTCGTGTCAGTTTGCACACCCATGAACTGTTGAAATACAGACCCAATTAGACTTCAGGTGCGATCAACGAACTTACCAGAGGCCATTGAACAACTCCACGTCCAGATTGAACGCCCTATGGTAAGTTCATTGGTTGCATCAGGGATCGAACCTTGGTCTGTATTTCAATAGTCTATGGGTGTATGAACTCACACAAGCACAACCATCACGGATTCCGAGGTGAGGACACAAAAATGGCAAAAGCAAAAAAAAAACAAAAAAAAACTGTTACAGTGACATCTGCTGCTAGCACTTTGGAGAACGTATCTGACTGCACTGACATCAAATCCTGGATGAAAATTACCACTATCACATCCAGAGCTTAGTGGAACAAGTTTTTTTCTTTCCTTTCATAATAAAGAAGAGGCCCTTTCAGACAGCCGGCCTCCTTGCCGTGAGAGGCGGGCAGGAATCCATTCAGTGCTCAGGCTAGCACTTTCCTGAATGTATCTGACTGCAATTACAGTCAGGCCTGGGGTGGGGTATGAGTGAAAATGAGAAATCTACAGCGTCCTTTTTGTTCCATCTGCTGGCGGTAGGTCCAACACAGAAGGCGGTACCGGTACTGCCCTGAATTTTCCCAGTGGTTGTATCTACCACTTGCAGGCTCGACAAATTTCAAATCTAGGCTCGTACATTTAGCCTCGGGTGTACTGGTGGATTGACCCAAGGCGAGCGGTTTGCAATTCGTTGCATAAAATTGCCTGGTGGCAGCCGACCCAAGGAGAAACCTGCTATTCTGCTAAAGCTGTGGTCTATTTACAGGCGGAATGACAATATCCTTGTGCGTTGGGGGAGTGTAGAAGAAACGAAGTAGTGTCTGTTTTGCTTTTCCGTTGCAATCAGACTTGTCTCAATTTCACTCGCAACATGCACACACACATGTAAGGGCCGGTGTCAACACAGAATCAGCAGCAAACTTGCGATGGAGCATTGCGCCCACACAGGAAACTCAGAAATATGGCCGAAGGCCAGGAACTCAGCTTAAGTCAATGCTTCACACCTACCAGCTATGGCTGCTGCATGCTGGTCTGAATTCCCACTTGAACACTGTAACCACCATCAGACGCTCTCGCTCATGCACTATGATCTACCTTGAATGTCCACACACTCACACATACACACACGCCAGACGCTAACTGTTCACGTCAGCACTTGGCGGCTATGGCCGCGGTTGTCCTCCTCTTCCCTCTTCGTCTTCGGCCACCTGCAGACCTCGGAATGCACAAGTCGCACAAGCAGCGCTACCGCATGGCTCGCAGGCATTGCTTGGCGCTGCCTCTTTATTTATACTGTTTCGTCGGTGGTCTGGCCTGCCTTCGGTCCCAGGCCCAAGGACTGTGCAGCCCCACCTGGTACTTGCTGACTAGACAAGGTAGACTGGGACTTACACTGGGATTGGACTTTACCATGGTGACTCACCTACGGACGACCGACCCCTACTGCCTTGAAAGGTCAAGTTGACGAGTCTAGAACCTCCTCAGCTACGACTGACTGACCCCTACAACTCCGAAGAGCCACACAGTAATTTCTAGACTGACCCTTCGCTACACTTAGGACTAATCTATAGGACTGACCCTAAGACCACTAACCTGTAGGTCATCGGCTCAAGTCCACATGACCTATACTACATATGGGAAACATTTGTACATGAGTTGAGGGGCAGGTTGCCGGTTCAAACATACACAAGGTCAATGGGTAACTGTACATGGGGTTGGTGGTAAGTCTAGGGATCAAGCTCTGGGATCTGCACCATCACGCGAACTGGGTGAAACCATTTCACTCTCGCCATCCTAAATTCAAGGTCCTTCAAGAACTCTCTAATCCAAGGAAGGACCTTTACCCTTCCTTGTTCTTTCATAGGCATGAACTATGGCGGGAGCGGTCTGTAGAAGCTCGGTTCTGGTGAACTGTCTGTCGTCCTTGGGTTCCTGGTAAGCAAACCTAACTTTATATTGCTTTTGGGGACGACTCCGACCTTCAGTCCTAAAGACGCCTTTCCACTATGTGATCTATGTTGTATGTGCCATCCATATGGGAAACATTTGTACATGAGTTGAGGGGCAGGTTGCCGGTTCGAACATACACAAGGTCAATGGGTAACTGTACATGGGGTTGGGGGTAAGTCTAGGGATCAAGCTCTGGGATCTGCACCATCACGCGAACTGGGTGAAACCGTTTCACTCTCGCCATCCTAAATTCAAGGTCCTTCGAGAACTCTCTAATCCAAGGAAGGACCTTTACCGTTCCTTGTTCTTTCATAGGCATGAACTATGGCGGGAGCGGTCTGTAGAAGCTCGGTTCTGGTGAACCGTCTGTCGTCCTTGGGTTCCTGGTAAGCGAACCTATCTTTATATTGCTTTTGGGGACGACCCCGACCTTCAGTCCTAAAGACGCCTTTCCACTATGTGATCTATGTCGTATGTGCCATCCATATCACGCAGAATCATGGATCTTTGTGATGGAAATTGTTGACTGGTGACACAAGGCAACAACTTCGACGCATGGAAGACTGGATACGTATGGAGGTGTGGTGGAGTCTCTATTGTGTAGGATTGTCCGTCCTCTTCACCTTTGACTTCTAGGACAGGCCACGACATTTGCTCTATCTGGCTGTTTGTCTCTGGATGATGACCAAACGACATCAACAGCTTAGAGTTGTAGACTTTCATCAGATCTTGCCAATTCTGGCTTATTGACAGCGGTATCCCATGCACACTTACCCAGAAATCAAAGAACATCTCTATG